CTGCGCTAACCGCAACATGGCAACCTTTCGATTTGAGCCGGAGCTACGAACGCACCCTTTGTGAGCCACTTTCGCGGCGCTGACTTTTTAACTTAAAGGCCGCGGAGACCAAGCAGGATTCGCGCCCGGGGCCGGTCACTGCCAAGAGCAGGCGCGTAACCACGAGACAAACTCTCAAGCCCGCGTTCCGACTTGAAAAAGCAGCATTTTACTAGCATTTCGTGCGATCCACCACGCCAATCTTCGCCGAGGGTCGCGCGGGCAAGTCAGAAGTCGTAAAAAGTCCCCAGTTTTTGCACATCGACCACGCCAACCCCCGCAGACAGAAATCGTAAAAAGCCCCCAGTTTTTGCACATCGACCACGCCAATCCACGCAGAGGGTCGCACGGGCAAGTCAGAAATCGTAAAAATTCCGCAGTTTTTGCACATCGACCACGCCAATCCATGCAGAGGGTCGCGCGGGCAAATCCGAAATCTCCAAAAGTCCCCAGTTTTTGGACATCGACCACGCCAATCCCCGCAGAGGGTGTCATTTTCGCAGGGTGGGTTCGGTCCCACCGCGCCGCCTTAAGAGACTAACTAGTTACTTTCGTGTCCAAATGTCTCGTGCAAGTTTGGCTGTGTGATATGTCGTGCAAGTTGTTCTCGTGCAAGTTGGCTCGTGTAAGTTGGCTCGTGCAAGTTGACTCATGCAAGTTGGCTCGGGCAAGTTGGCTCGTGCAAGTTGGCTCGTGCAAGTTGGCTCGTGTAAGTTGGCTGTGCAAGTTGGCTCGTGCAAGTTGGCTCGTGCAAGTTGGCTGTGCAAGTTGGCTCGTGCAAGTTGGCTCGTGTAAGTTGGCTCGTGTCAGTTTAGCTGTGCGATAAGGCTGGTGCAAGTTGGCTCGTGCAAGTTTAGCTGTGTGATAAGGCTGGCGATTTTTCCCGGAAGAACCCTTCGCAATGCTTTCGGGAAAAATGATTCTACCAATTGGACTTATCTGTTGTACGCATGACCAATACTGCATAGTTGTGTGATTGTCCGGGCAGCAAGGGATGATTCATGTACACAAGCATGTATATATGTAGACGTTGCCCCTTGAAATCAGCTGGGCGGTGAACACTTAGAAACGCCCTAGATTCTGCTAATTGGACTTGTCTGTGTGTCAAAATATATGTTCATGATCTATTTACAAGATTTTTTATATACATATAGAAACCCCTACCCCTCCAAATTCTGCGAGTGGGACTTGTCTGTGTGTATGCATGACCAACACTACCTGTATGTCAGCATGTGTGTAAGCAAGGCATGATCGACTTACACATATATGGGCCTTCATCCTCGCGGCATCGTTTTTCGTTCAAATCAGCTGAGCGGTGAACACTTGTCTGTGAGTACAAATGACTAAAACTACAGAAATGTCAGCACGTGCGTGAGCAATGATCCATTTACACATATTTAAACCTTCGCCCCCCTCCCCCCCCCAAAAAAAAAGAGTTTCTGCCGATTGGACTTGTCTGTGCGTATACATGACCAATACTACATATATGTCAGCACGTGTGTGAGCAAGGCATGATCTATTTACACATACGTCGTGAAGCCTCTTGTAAAGATAAATGTTTTGCTTTTTCGTAACCGTATCGTTTTAAAGGGTTCTGTGCGTTTCACTTTTCACGTGAATTCGAGGTGCGCTTTGCCAGCTGAAAAGGCGCAACTTTCAGTAAAGGTATTGAAAGTGCGACTTTTGGGCCGGAAGCTGCCGAAGTGTATATCCTTTACTATACTTGTACTGAAAAGTTGCGACTTTCCCAAAGCGTACTTTCTTTACTACACTTGTACCAAAAAGTTGCCACTTTCTGCCAAAGTGCACTTCCCTTACGGCACTTGTGACTTTCGAGCCGGAGCTGCCAAAGTGCCCTTCCTTCACTACACTTGTACTGAAAAGTTGCAATTTTCGAGCCGGAGCTGCGCAAAGTGAACATGAAAGACACTTTGCCAGCTCCGGCTCGAAAGTCGCGACTTTTCAGTACAAGTGCAGTAAAGGAAGTTCACTTTGCGCAGCTCCGGCTCGAAAGTCGCAACTTTTCAGTACAAGTGTAGTAAAGGAAATCCACTCAGCTGCTCATTTCCTTACACAAGGGTAGCGTCGTACACAAAACCATTGTTAGTTGGGTTATCGCTTTTTGTTTGTCACCCCTTTCGTTTCGCATGCGTTTGGCACGTTCTACTGTTTATGTTGGTATGTCATGTCCAGCCCTTTACATTCCAAAGCTTTTGCTAGACGCTCACATATAGACTTTCATCCTCGGGGCATCGGTGTTTTGTTGGGGTTGTGGGAGCTTGAAATCAGCTGGGTGGTGAACACTTAGAAACGCCCCCCCCCATTCTACCAATTGGACTTGTCCGTGTGTATACATGACCAATACTGCGTATGTGTCAGCACGTGTGTGAGCAAGGCATGAGCTATTTACACATATAGTGGCATATATATATATATACAGATATATTTATATATATATTTTTCTAGACCTTTATTTCTCGGGGCATCGGTGTTTTCTTAAAGTTGCCCGAGCTTGAAATCAGCTGGGCGGCGAACGCTTAGAAACGCCCCCCCAGATTCTGTCAATTGGACTTGTCTATGGCTGATCGGTGCCTACATACGTGCGCGCCAGTTGTATACATAGATATGTATACCCAGGTCACGGCGCTAAGGACCTGGTCCAGGCCTTGTGTAACCGACAAGGCTTGATGGGAGGCATATGGCCTGTCAGGAGTATATGCATGTATGTATATATACATATATACGTACATGTGTGGATGCGTGCGAAGGCTGGTCCAAACCGATATAGACATCATGCAAGGCATGAAAAAACGAACGTTCCGCATCTTGGAGTCAAGAGCCATTGGGCTAAGCTGCAAAACGTTTCTAAGTGTTGAAAGAATCTGTAGGTTGAAAAACGTTTCTAAGTGTGGAATTCGGCCGTAGCAATCTGGATCAACACTTAGAAGCGAAAGGTACCTGCTCGGGACATCACGTAGAAACGAAAAAAGTAGCTGCTGACAAAAGAAAATTTCCCAAATCGTTTCTACGTGTTTGTCCGGCGCTATAGAGACATGCCAAATGCGGCCCCTGCCACGCAGACACACACCCAGATGCAGAAAATGCTGCGCCTGCAACGAAATCTGCGAGCGATCTCCAAAGTGCTGCGCCTGCGCGTTGTCACGGAAAACGGGGCCCCCAGCCGCGCGCTCGACAACATCCAGTTCCTTTAAACACATACCAAATGCTGCGCCTGCCACGAAACCTGCGAGCGATCCCCAAAGTGCTGCGCGTTTACCAAATGCTGCCCCTGCCACGCCAACAGATGCAGGAAATGCTGCGCCAGGTGAGTGAGTGAGTGAGTGAGTGAATGAGTGAGTGAGTGAGTGAGTGAGTGTGTGAGTGAGTGAGTGAGTGAGTGAGTGAGTGAGTGAGTGAGTGAGTGAGTGAGTGAGTGAGTGAGTGAGTGAGTGAGTGAGTGCATGAGTGAGTGAGTGACTGAGCAAGTGAGTCAGTGAGTGAGTGAGTGAGCAAGTGAGTGTGAGTGTGTGTGAGTGCGTGTGAGTAAGTGAGTGAGTAAGTGCGCCAGTGTCAGTGTGACTCAGTGAGTGAGTGTGAGTGTGATTGTGAGTGAGTGTGGGTGAGTGTGAGTGAGTGTGAGTGTGAGTGAGTGGGAGTAAGCGAGTGAGTGAGTGAGTGAGTGAGTGAGTGAGTGAGTGAGTGAGTGAGTGAGTGAGTGAGAGAGTGAGTGAGTGAGTGAGTGAGTGAGTGAGTGAGTGAGTGAGTGAGTGAGTGAGTGAGTGAGTGTGAGTGTGTAAGTGAGTAAGTCAGTGAGAGTGAGTGAGCGAGTGAGGGAGTGGGTGAGTGAGTGGGTGAGTGCAGTGAGGGTGAGTGAGTGACTGAGTGAGTGAGTGAGTGAGTGAGTGAGTGAGGGAGGGAGGGAGGGAGGGAGGGAGGGCGGGAGGGCGGGAGGGAGGGAGGGAGGGAGTGATTCCGAGTGAGAGTGTGAGTGTGAGTGAGTGAGTGAGTGAGTGAGTGAGTGAGTGAGCGACCGAGCGAGCGAGTGAGTGAGTGAATGAGCGAGTGAGTGAGTGAGTGAATGAGTGATTGAGCGAGTGAGTGAGGGAGGGCGGAAGGAGGCGGGAGGAGGAAGAGGAGAAGAAGCGCGGCCGGTCGACGGGCAGTAAATGTAAGAGCCCCGCGCAAAGATGCGGGGAAATACAAAAGCAACAATCAACAACCGCCAACAGGCAGCAATCAGCAACAACAACGACCGCAAGCGCAAGCGCAACCACAACCGCCGCAACCGCAGCCGCAACAACAGCACGAACAACGACAACAACAGCAACAGCAACAACTACTACAACTTATTGCAACTGCAACATCACCACCACCCGTACCAGCATCAACGAAACAGCAACCAAGCAACAAAACAGCAACCAACCAACAACCGACCGCATCACAACAGCAAACAAAAACACAACCAGCGCCACCACGACCGCGACCATCACCACAACCATCGACGACGACCGCGGCGGCGGCTGCGATTGCGACTGCGACCGCGATCACGACCACTACCGCTGCACCAACCCCGACGATGACAACTACCATAACTACAAGTAACACAAAGACACAACTACAGCTACAGTCACACCTACAGCGACAGCAACAGCAGCAACAGCAACCAAGACCACAACCGCAACAACAACCGCAACAACAAAGGGCAACAACAACAATACCAACAACAACACGAGCTGTTGAGTGTCGACTCCACGAAAGCTCGCAGAGGGTTGCCAAACAACGTGCGCGGCCACGCCAATATCCTTTTCCACTTTTTGCTTCAATTTCTGCTTGCCAGCCGAGCTGGCCTGCGTGCATGCAAGTCGTTGCGCCGACTTGCTCGGCGGCACTTGCGCGGCGCGGTGTGTGGTAGAATTTTCTTGTTCCCATGCCAAGTGGACTGCCGACGCGGGGTGCTTCAGGACTGGAACCACGAGATCAGCGCCGCCATGACGCCTGAGCAGCTGGTCTGCAAGTCCCTGGGCTTCGTCGCAACAAGTGTAAGCTCATGAGAGGCGCCCGTGGCCTGCAGCCTGGGCTCACAGCGTTCAGCGATGGATCACGGCGATGCAGTGGCAGAGAGGATTGTTGCGGTAAGCGTGTCAAGATCTGCCGGGGAAGTAGTTTTTGCATGCCCAGGTCTTGATCTCAATTTCTCGTACTTAATTTAGTATCGCCGGTTCTACATTCAGTACTGCCAGTATTCATCTCATTTCCCCGTATCAGGTTCTCACTGCTTTTTTAGTTTTGCCAGTTCTAAATTCCGCGGGCTGAGGCAAACTTATCAGGGGTTCACAGTGTCACCCGCGCCGAGGTGCAGGGCGCTTCCAACAGCCGTCTTTGGAATTGCCCCTGTTGATTTGGCAGATTTCCCGTGCTGAATGTAGAACTGCCAATTCTCAATAGTATTGCCAAGACTTGGTCTTAGATTCCCAGTACGTAATAAAGTCTTGCAAGTTCCAGTTTGTATACTGCCATGGCTTCATCTCAGGCTTCCTGCTCTTGATTTTGTTTCGCCAGCTCTAAATTTTGCGTTGCCCGGGCTTCATCTTAGATTCCCCGTGCCCAACGTCGAATTGCAAATTGGGACGGAGAGCAGGGGCGGGTGTGTACGCCTACCATGTGCCAGGCATGTACTCAGGCGTACGACGGAGAGCGTGGGCGGGTGCGTGTGGCACAGACGCAGGCGTGCGACGGAGAGCGTGGGGGGTTGGCGTGTGAAAAACCCACGTTCTTTTTGTCGGTGCAAAATCCGCTTGCTTAAGCATCCCGGCTGCAAGTTCAGGAGTTGACCAGGCTTCATCAAGAGCCATCTAGAGATGGAAATCCATGCGCTTGGCGGGCAAACGAAAAACCATGAAAACGCCACGCCGGTTTGCAGGGTGTAGGCTTAATTCAGTCTTGCTAATTCTAGATGTAATATTGCCAGGACTCTTAGATTTCCAGTGCTTGATTTAATGTTGCCAGTTCTACATGTTGCAGTGCCAGGACTTGATTCTTGCGCTTAATGTAGGCTCAATGTAGTATCGCCAAGGCTTGGTCTTTGATTCCCAGTACTTAGTCTAGTCTTGCTAATTCTAGGCTTTTTATTGCCAGGACTTTATCTCAGATTTCCAGCGCCTGATTCAGTCTTGCAAGCTCCGAATGTTGTGTTGTTAGGGTTTGGTCTCAGATTCTCCGCGCGTAATGTAGAAGTTCTCAACGTAGTGCTGCCAGGGGTTGGTTTCAGCTCTCGGTGCATAATGTGGAACTGCCAATTCTCAATGTAGTGTTGCCAGGACTTGGTCTCAAATCTCCAGCGCTTGTTTCCCCAAACAGTGTGCTAACACTAAAGGGTTCTTACGGTAAGTGTAAAGGACCGGTGCTAGATAGAGGTGTTCGCTCTGACTGGGGCGTTTTTCGTGGTATTTACGTACAATCGTGGCTTGGTACAAAAAACCTTGAAGCGCGTTTCGACTGTGCAGGCTCGTGCAAGGTGGTGGGTTGAGGTTTTGCCGGCGCGTTCCGGCTGCGCAGGCTGACGCAAGAGTTCTTTTGTGAGATGTTCATGTGCATTTCGACTGCGCAGGCTCGTGCAAAGTGGCGGGGCGAATTTGGTGTCTTTCGAGGGCGTGCTCTCGCTGTAATGCCGTGCGAATTCCGGAAAAGGTTGATCCTCGGCATATATTAGATCGCAATTGTCGAGGTCGGGGACCGTCTGGGCGTGAAGCCGTGAAAATACAATCGGACCGCGCCTGCCCGCGCATGGTGCGGATGACCGTGAGAATCCGCGAAAAGGCCGTGAAAATCCGCCACTTGACTGTGGGAATCCATGAAAACACATGAAAATGCAGCGTGGCCTTGAAAGTCCCGGTTGCACTTGCGGTCGCGAGCAGGCGCTGCGCCCAAATCAGCCCTCTACGGACTTTGGGTCGGTCGGATCGCTCTCGTTGCGGCGCGGCGCGAACTTCCAACATCGAAAGTGAGCCCTCTGCGGCTCTCGCTGCGGCGCGGGGAATTGGCCCGTTTCCTTCTAACTGGGGTTGCGAAACACTGTTGTTTAGCAGCTGTGAACTGGTTTTTCGTGAGGACGACGGCTCCTAGCCTGTCCTTGTAGGCTGCGCAAATCCAAGCGATTGACTCTTTGGCTGCGCAGGGTTCATTTAGTGCGATTGAATATTGAAGAGCCGCGTCCAATGATAAGCAACGCGCGCAACAGCTGCTCAACTTCAGGAAGCAACACTAACACACTACGGAAAGCCCACACCCACAGATTGTTTTTGTCCTAACCAGGGTTGCAAGAGACTGGGGTCTTGCGAGCGTTTTTGCACTGAGCGATTACTTCTCTATGACCCAGACTTGCCAGCTGTCAGCTAGTCATTTTCCTACCTATCAAGTTCCTAGCTTGCCACCAAACTTGCAAGCAAGGTGCTGTGGCTTAAAACACATAAAGCTTGCTTCTGGTGTTTGGCCCCCGCTCCAGAATGTGGCCCGCGCGTCGACGCCTGCCCCTTCTCTTGCTGATCGCACGGCAACCCAGGCCCAAATCTGCTGCCAAAGTGGAAACAGCTTGTTTCAAGCCAGCTGGTGACTGATAGGAAGAAAGTCGGGACCAACGTGCGCAAAGGTCTGGAGTCGCCCCAAGCTCGCTGAATCAGGTCAGGCCTATGGTTGGGCGGGGGGCGCGCAACTCGCTGCTATTTTACAAATCCCCGCTCCCATTCAACTATTCCCAAAGAGGCTTTTCCGTATGTCAACCATTGCCTGCGTGAGGACGCACGCCAGGCAGCAACCACACATTGCCTTCCACCCCAAAGAGCGTCGCTGACCAGAGCGGCCACTGTGTGACTCTGGACGTGCGCGCCGCGGCGCTGTTTGCAGCCTCATGGTTCTCAAGGCTGAACTACGAGGGACCGTTGGAGCTGTTCACCATGTACATGTGCTTCCTTGGAAGCAGGGACGTTTACCCTATGAGTGGCTGCCAAGCAACATGCCCAAGATTCGGGAAATTCATGTGTCCATGACGCTTGCCTCTCCCGACTGCAAGTTTGGGGCAAGGCTGATGTTGCGTCCTGCACACACGCACACACGCACGTGGAGATGTTCACCTTGAAGCACTTACGTGCGAGAAAAATGGCCTCTATAGTGACTGCAGCGTGCCTCCCCTCAAGCCATCACGAAACACGTCCCTATAACTGAGCTTTGCTTCAGACGAGCTTTTTGAGCATAAGCCCCGAAGGGTAGCTTGACGCACCATGGCAGGCTTGTTTCACTGGAGTAGTTGTTGCTGCTCTGAGGCTGCAAGTGAGGGCTTGCTCCTGGCCAGGCAGCCCACGGCCACACCACGCTCAAGTTGTGTGACGCTTGTGTGTCGTTGCCTTATCTGGGCTACGGTCGCCGTTTGCATGTCATAAAGCATTTCCTGCATGTTCGCATTGCAAGCAACTTGGTGACTGGCAAAAGATCTTGCCACAATTCCCTCAGTAGCTCCCTCTTTCACCTTCGCTTCTTTGCCGGCAGCCTTAGCTGCAGCCTGTTGCTGCGCCTGGCCGGGGCTTTCTTGTGAGAGGTTGGGCATAAACTGCGCAGGCTGCAGCCTTCAGTGCCAGGGCATGAGTGCTGTCGCCTCTCGCTCCCCCCCACACCCAACTTTGCTGCTTCCGTGTGCTCCCAAGCCAAACTGGCAGCCAGGTTTGAGCCTGTGCACACAGTGGCAGGCCTCTTTCTGAAACTTTGAGTTCACGCACAAGTGCATTGCTCAGAGGCCTTTGTATGGAGAGTTGCACTCAGCTGAGCGCAAGCAGTCGTCGCGCAGGCTCGCAGGTGAAATTGTGGCTTGGGCTAAACTGTTTCCCTGTGTGTGTGCGTGCCTTGTGTAGTCAAGTTGACTATGAGGCCTTGGCAACAACACTCGTGGGGACACCTGTCGGTAGCGCAGATAGAGCACAAACACGAATTATCTGTAAGTGCTGGAACATGTGTTTGGTGTCCAAACTGCATGTGGACACCCGGTTATAACACCTTCATCTAGCACTGGTCTGGCCCCATCCTTCCTCTGAGAAGTTGCGACCCAATCACATGCGCGCAGAACATCCCAGCCTGTTGCGGCGGCCCAGCCATACCCACATATTTGTGCACATGGTTTTACGAACGCAATGGCCCACTTTCGCATGTAGAGACTTTCCCACAAAGTCATCCGTTCTCCTCCACCGCGAGTCCAAGCTCATTGTAACGCAGTCAAGCGCGCAATCATGCTTGGAGGGCTGCCCTCGATCACCCGAACTGAAAGCCACGTACCAACGGACTCCTCAGCAATCTGCCGCCGCGAAAAGCGGTCACTGCTCACAGATCTGCAACGTCAAACCATTGGTGCACTTTCAACTGTAAGAGTATGTGTAGAAACGAGCCAAGGGCTAATGACATTCTGACATGCTTCCTTGTGCAAAAACCACGAACCCCTCACTCGAAATACGCCCTCGTCAAATATGACCGGCGTGCGTGTAACATGGCTCAGGCATCGTTGAGCTCCCGCCTTGCGGATAGCTGCCATCAATGGCGGTGTGGTGGGCTTTGAGGTGCAGTGAATCACACGCACAGTAACTCCCACTACACCCAAGATAATTAGTGAGTTGGATGGCCGGCGGCCCTGAAGTTAAAAGAAGATAGCCGTTTGCGCTAGCCCTCAGCCACAAGAAGAATATTTGCCATCGGTCCACATCTGAGCGATCAAACTTGGTTGATTAAGTAGAATTGTCCTTCTCCAAGGATGTGGGTACCACTCCGCCTGCTGGGGATGTCGCTGCTGTTGGAGGCGTGGGTCAACAGATTTGGTTGGTGTGGGGGCGTGGGTGTCCATTTGAGAACAATTAGGTGTTGAGCGGGAAGTTACCAAGCTCAATGTTTGGAACAGTCTTCCAGTCTTCAGTACACTTTTGAAAGTTGATTGGTGTGTCAGTCCAGCACTGCGCCCTGGCCGTTTTC